ACTTGAAGCGTGTAACAGACGATCATTGCGTGTATGAGAGATAAGCGTCTATGTATATGTGTTTGTATATGAGTGCGTATCAATATTTGCCCGCTGATGATTGGTGAAGACATTATGGGACGAATATATCTTATCGTAGCGGATGCAATAGGTGTCCACAAGTAGGTTGATGATGACTAAAACAAGCTCTGAGGCATTTTGCTTATTCAATACAAAAAACCAGAAATTTAAATAAAATTAAATTAAAAATAGAAAATTCACCATTATGAAAGTTGGATTCATTAGTTGATTATTTTTCATTGATTTTCAGTGAATGAAAAATGCTTTCGTTTTTTTTTCTTCTTTTGTTTGTTTTTAATGTAAAAACGTGCATAAATATTTATTTGGGACAAGGCAAAGACGACTTCCTTTCTCAATTATTCATCTCTTTCTTTCTGTCTGTTTGCGTTTCTTGCTTATCCCATCACTCTTTCTCTCTCTCTTTCTCTTTCTCTCTCGTTTTGCTTAATTTCACTCTTTCCGACAATTTCGACCGTTAATTTTATTCCTGATTATATGATTAGCTGAGTTACGAGAGGTGCTGAAAAGTTCTCGGTTCGTCCCACTTTTCAAGATCTGATCAGAATCAGAATTCTTGATGCCTGACAATTACTTCTTCAACCGAAAGATAAATCCATTTTCTACAGTCTAAGAACTGTACCATTTGCAAAATTTCCTCTATTTGCTGAATAGGAGGTAGTCCTAAGCGATGTGATATTCCTGGGTTCCTCGAGAATTTCGGGACTCTCAACATTGTATTCTCTCTCCCAAGCGATCCAAGCAGGGCTGATCGGACCATGATTCTACCCCGAGGAACAGGCTTTTACAAACTTCGCCGCCATTTTGATAGTGGTAAATTTTGATCATTAGGTAGTTACGTTTCACTCACGTTACCCCTAGCCAATGGCGTTTGATTTCTGCTCGACCGCTATCTTTATATGGGTTTTCAAGGCTTTAGCCCGAGTTTGGCACCAATTACATTACCAGGAAAATAATGCGCTGGCTGTAGTAAATTTTTTCTCGGACCAAGAAAGAGAATTTGGCTACTCTCTCTCTCTCTCTCTCTCTCTCTCTATATATATATATATATATATATATATATATATATAAAAATAAACATTAATATTCCATGGTCATAATTTATTCCATTGGAATCGTAAAGACGATCCAATTCATCAGACCTACAAATTCAAAAAGAAAATTTGAATTTGAAGGTCTGATGAATTGAATCGTCTTTACTATTCCAATGGAATAAATTATGACCATGGAATATTAATGTTTAAGCCTTTTTTATTATATCCTTACTCTGTCCTAGACATTGAGTTCTACCTGGATTCTTCCTCTTGGAATTTTTTTTCTAAAAATATACATATATGGGTATTTATATTTATATTTATATATTTTGCATATGTATGTATATTTTCCACTAATATTATATATATATATATATATATATATATATATATATATATATATATATATAAAATAGGTGAACATTGATGTCGGCTCCTAGTGGCGACAGCCAGTTTCATGCTTGAACGTAATCTTCAGACCATACAGAAATCGACATCTGTTCACACTTTTTCGATTTACACACACTCTATCGTGGATACTTGACCACATTTACAATGAAAATATTTATAGGAAAGGCACAGGGAAAGATACGTTACGGCGATGAAAAAGTAGCAGAAGCGGAGATGTCAGGTCAGCACCAATAATATAGCTTATTCTTCTGTGGATGAATGGTAGACTTCTAACTCTGTGAGATAGATGTTGGAAAGAAGCATTCTCTAGCATGACACAATGAACAAACTTTCCTAGCTGCAGATCTAGCAATTGATTCCACATAATCTTTCAATTTCATGACAGCAGAAAACGTTAGCCCGAGAAGGAGCAAAGAGTTGCTCGCCTGGAGGTTAGCATCAGCCATGCTGATGGAAAACAAAAAAAAAAGTTCTCTCAAACGATTAAAAGATAGTAGTTTTGTTTTAGGGGCGTTAAAATAATTTGACATTTCTTGCCCCAGTTACAACTCATTGTAAGTAATTTTTTATATCAAAATTATAAGATCACATTATATTATATCCCTACATATGGCGGTATATAAATATATATATATATAGTCGACTCTCCCGTCGAATTCGACGTATGAGGTTCAAGCAGATCATTTCCCAGGAAACCGACAGCCCGACAATAGCACAAGAGATTTGATTATAGTGGTGAAGGCCTCGTGCAGGACCATCCACACATTTTGAAGGGCCGAATACAGAGACCTGGTGCACTACGTGCCACAAGGTCCCCAAACGACCCTCCGCACATTTTGAATTCAGAGTTGTCCTTCTCTTAGACCAGTTGCCATCCAAGGCTATAGAACCCAGTCTGTCCTGCTATTTTACCCATAGCTAGAGGGAGAAGAAGAGGATTCATACCTTTCCCAGGGGTATTAGCACGTAAGTGAATG